AGCCAAGATCCATCTGACATCAGCAATGATATCCCTTGTTCCACATCCTCTTCTGACTCCAGCTTGAATTTCTGGAAATTCTCTGTCAATATATTGCTGCAACCATTTTTGAATTATCTTCAGTAAGATTTTACCTGTGTGTGGTATTAATGATATTATTTGATAATTTCCATATTCTGTGGAATCACCTTTCTTTGAAATGGGTGTAAATATGGATCTCTTCCTAAAAAGAATTAGAAATAGCAATTATGAAAACAAATTGAGATATTAACCATAAAAATATTATTCCTGAAACAAAGATGTCAATGAATGTGTTGAACAGTGGAATGGATGCAACCAAATGCAACAAATGACTTGGAACACTGGTTCAAAGAACTCTCATAGAAAACATTAGGAAGAGTTAAGAAGAGGAAAAAGTGACATGAAAGAGAATTTAATTAAGTAACAGCCATATATTGGAGACTTGAACAAAGAGAAAAAGACATGTGGTGACATTCATCTCACTATCTGACCAAATTTTGCAGGGGGAGGGAGGCATAGAGATTGATCCTGCCCTCCACTGGACAAGCATAAAACAGAGGGGTTAATATCTTCCTGTTTTTCTGTGCTATTTATCCCAATTTGTGTTTCAAAGAATATTTGCAAACTACTTATTATTAAATAATACAACTATTTTTAAAAGATCCAGCATGCTATTAGTTACTCTGAACATTCTCCAACAGCATTAGTAATAATTATTAGCTGAAGCAAATTAGAGATATTTTTAAAGTTACAGTTTTTTGGGGTCCTCTGTTTCAATTGTTTTAACTCTTAGTGGGTGTCTGAGTTAAGAATAATCTTTAAGAACTTCCAGTAAGATGGAAGAATAGGCAGACAAGCTGCACAGACCCTCTTCAACAAAGAAAAGAGAAACCAATTGACACAGATACAGAAGATAATTCTGGAGCCCTGAGCTCTGAAACGAAGGATATAGAAATGGATTAAACACCAACTAGTAGAAGAACCTGAGTGAAAACAGTGAATAAGGAGACAAATGGAACTGTAGACTGTCAGCTATCCTGATGGCACAGTTTGAATATTTCCAAGTGGTGTTAGTACCTGAGAATTAACATGAAAATCAGCTCTGCTCACCAAGGGCTGCCCTGGTGGCTGTTGACTAAAAAGGGAAACAGCAAAAAAGGAGACAAATTGAGCTGTGGATTTTCAGAAGTCTGGAGGGTACAGCCATTTTGAATGTTTAAAAGAAGTGCAGCCATTTTGGATATTTAAAGCGATAGCATTCTTGTTCAGATTCCAGGGACCTAAGAATAGGCTCCATTTGCCAAGGCAGCATGGACATACAGGAGGCTGATGACTGGAAAGGAGACAAGTGGTGAGTGCATAAGTGCTGCCAACTAGTGAACAGAGGAGCACAGTACCTTGCTTACTCAGATACATCCAAACAAAGCAAGGAAAACTAAAATCTTGGGCAAATCACTCTAACATACAATCACCAATTAAATCACTGCCATCGAGTCAGATCCAACTCACAGCAGCCCCTCCTTGGGTTTTTGAGGCAGTATCACTGTGGAAATAGAATGCCCAACTTTCCTTCCAAGAAGCGGCTGGTGAGTTTGAACCACCAGCCTTCTGGTTAGCAGTCAAATGCCTTAGGCACAAGCCACCAGAGCTCACACCAATTAAATATAAACACAAAAATGTCACAATGTCTCAGAGACAACAAACCATCACAGTCCACACAAAGAAGTAAGATAAAGTGGTAGAAACAAGGGACCAGAATACAGACCCAAGGATGAAGCATCATTGGAACTCCCTGATAAGGAATTCAAAAGAATTATATTTAGGTACCTTCAATGGACTGAGAGAGAGATCAAAGAAAACATTGACAAAATTGAGGAAAACACAGAAAAAACCCTAGAACAATTTTGGAAGACAAGACAAGAACAAAAATGACAAAATAAATGAAAAATTAGAAATGTTACAAAATCTACAGATAGAAATCCAGAAGATTAACACTAAATTTTCAGAAATAGATAACAAATTGAATGGGCAAAAGAGTAGAATTGAATCAATGAAGACAGAATTAGTGAGATTGAAAACAAATACCTCAATACTTCTCTGCAAAGGGGTCAATCAGAAAAAAAGATCAAAACTACATGAAGAAAGCCTAAAGTTCATGTAGGATACCATCAAAAGGAATCACCTAAGTGGAATTAGAATTCAGAACAGGAAGAAACAAATAAAACCACAGAGAAAATAGTCAAAGATATGTTGGAAGAAAATTTCCTTGATTGATGAAAGACAACAATATATCCATTCAAGAAGTTCAATGAAGCCTAAGCAGGATAGACCACAAAAGAAAATCACCAAGACATATCATCATCAACTCACCAAAATCAAAGACAAAGAAAGAATCCTGAAAGCAGCACAGGAAAAAAGAAAATTTACCTACAATGGGCAACCAATAAGACTAAGCTCGGATTTCTTGGCAGAAACCATGCAGGTGAGAAGGCAATGGGATGGTATATATAAAACCCTGAAAGAAAAAAATTTCTAACCAAGAATTATATACCAAGCAAAATTACCCCTCAAATTAGGTGAAATTAGGACATATTCAGATAAGCAGAAATTAAGGGAATTTGATAAAAACAGACCAGCCTTATAAGAGATGCTAAAGGGACTCCTTTGGACAGAGAACCAACAACAGCAAATGACAACTGACTGTTAACACACATTAACACCCAGAAATCAACCCAGTTATGGAAGTATCCAAA